CTTAAGTTAGAGAACGGAAACTAAAAATTTTGAAATTTTTCCATTTATAAAGGGGCATAAATCTAGAATGGTTAAAGTGACGCCACCAAAATTCAAACTTGAGTCTGTGTTTTGTGGTAATAAGCATTGTGTATAAGTTTCATAACATTTGGTTGAGGCAAACTCAAGTTTGAGAACGGAAACCAATTTTGGGACGTACGTACAGACGGACAAGGGTAAAACTTAATGCCCCCCACCGCTACGGCGGGGGCATAAAAAAAGTGTTTTCATTGCAAAGTGGAAGCCAATAAGACATAACACATTTTATTTCACTAAAGCCCCCCTCATGGGGTATGCTAGTTCAACATTTTTACACACAATAAAAGTGTGAACATAGTGTTTGCTGCTTCTCCGCTAAACACGCGACATTAAGGAATGAGAGCAAGGACTGGTCGGCTCGGAGTCAGAATAATGTGTCCAGGTAAGGTGAGTCTGACATGACCTGTCTTCCTGCGGACTGTTACCTTGTGAACTAGCACCTTAAAAATCCGGCTCAGCGTGTCGGTCTAGTACAAAGCAGGGTCAATATTTATATTACATTAACTTGGCATGTTCGCGTCCTGAATATCAATTTGCCGCTGGACGTTAAGCAGCCATATATCAACATCCACGAATTAAATAAGAGCAAACAGCAGGACATGTCAAGACTATTTTAGGTATTAACTCTCTGTGCTCTAATAAAAACAAAATTTGGCTTAATTCGAAACCTAGCCGTTTACATAAAAGTACCGTAACTCGGGTGATTTGAAAAAAAATAATAATTCAAAACTGATTTGGTTCAGTGTTTTGAATGACAATATGTAAGCATTGGATTTTTTTTTACTAAAATGAAGTTATGAAGTAGGAACAAGTTGACTTATTTGTAGATCTTGTCTCGCTGGTCATTTTTTTTTATGACTGAATATTTCGGGTTATATGTTGCTCCTTGCGTCAGTTGTGGCTAAATTCATTTGGATTATAGTGCATTTGATTCTGAAGTCGTTATTTGCAGAGACCCTTGTTAGGATTAAAATCTTTGATCCCATGGTGTTAATATATATTTCTCTGCATAGAATAATTGAAAGTGGTCGTCTGACGCCCAAGCAGACGAAAATATTGGTAAATAAACAAATTCCTTGCCAATTAAGTAATAGAACAGACAAATCAACGAAAAATTTTATTACACAAGGAAAACGTGTTTCAGAGTAATGAAATGTTTCTGAAAGTAATCCGACATGCATGTATTAATTAAGAAAAGGTATTTAGGAATAAAGAATGCAATGACTGTGCCAACACGTTTCTACATTAAGAAACACTTGATTCTTTTGCAATTCACCTGAATAATTAAAAGAAATACCAGGTGCTAGTTTCTATAATTAAATAAAAATAAGGTCTATACATTTTATATGTTTCTATGAAGCCTAATATGTTTTGTCTTGATATATAAGTGAACAATTTATCTCACCAGTGGCGGATCCAGGGGGAGTTGATGGCGTAAGCGCCCCTTTTTAGTCGCAAAAAAATAATTATATCATGTTTTTTCACGATTTATATGATTTTATAGCATAAAATAGTCCAATTAAAAAAAAAATCTAATGTTTTTTTTTTTAATTACGCCCCTTTCACAAATCTTGGATCCGTCCTGGCATTATTGAATGGGATATTAAAGAAGTGCAAAGTTGAATACAACTTTATTTTGAATCAAAACAAGGTCAGGTAAGGTGTTGCTGAAAAAGTATAGGAATAGTTTAACTGGACTTCAGATTGGGATCAGGGGCAGATTCAGGCGGGGGCGAGGCGGCTGTGCGCCCCCTATAATTTGTAAAGCATGGGTTGTCCTCAGCTTAATAAAGAATATTTCGATAATTTTACCTCAAAAAAATTTTCGCCTCGATTCCGCTCGGTCAAAATTGAAGTTTGCGCCCCCCCCCCCCTAACCTAAAATCCTGGATCCGCCCCTGGGGATGGGAACAAGATTGAATTTGTTTTTGATATCCTCGCCGGACGGGGCGTTAAGTGTTATCCTTATCCGTCTTCCGTAGTAAGTAGGTCCCAAAATTAGTTTCAGTTCTCTAACTTTAGTTTGCCTCAACCAAATGTTATGAAACTTATATACAATGCTTATTACCACAAAACATAGATCAAGTTCGAATTTGGGTTGTGTAACTTTTACAGTTCTCTAGATATGTCCCTGTATAACATAATATGAAAGTGGGGGCATCATCTGTGTCCCAATGACACATTCTCAATTAATTTTTCAAATGTTAAATAGTGCCAGTTTAGAAATTGGAACCACAAGGCCTAGGTTAGTGGATATATATATATATATATTTGAATAATTTAATTTTATTGATTTTTCATTTCTTAGGGTTTTTTTTCAGTATACAGATATGGATCGTAAACTGGTCATAGTAAACATACACGCACCTGTCCTAAGTCAGGAAGCCTGTTGTTCAGTGGTTGTCGTTTGTTGGTGTGTTTCATAAGTGATTCTTGTTTCTCGTTTTTTTTTCTTCATAAGATTAGACCGTTGGTTTTCCTGTTTGAATTGTTTTGCACTAGTCATTTTGGGGCCCTTTATAGCTGTTCAGTGTGAGCCAAGGCTCCGTGTTGAAGGCCGTTCTTTGACCTATAATTGTTTACTTTTTACACATTGTGACTTGGATGGAGAGTTGTCTCATCGGCACTCAAACCACATCTTCTTATTTATAAGTATTGGTGCCAACGTCAACAAGTTAATCCAAATACCCACAAAATACGAAAAAAACAAATAAAATTACAATTATCAAAAAAATATATATCTGTTAACCTTAGTCCTTATGGTCTAACCCGAGATAAATATATTAATGTCAATATATACTGACTGACTTTAAAAACGCAACACTCATTTTGTTGATTTTTTTTTACCAAATCATGGTTGACCCTCATACAGCTACTATTAATACTTAAAATACTTCCTTCTCTTAAGAAAAAATCAACATCTGACTTACCTGTGGTTATTGAACATACCGGATTTTTGAAGTCGCACGAATTTCTTAAAGCGAAATTTGGAACCCATAAAAGATTTTTTCAGTTTGTTTTGCTTCGTGAAACAGTTCTTTCAATCCTGGGCCACACTTAAATCAGTTTAAAAATGTTGCATCTCCATATTGCCAAGACTGAGGAATAAAAAACTTATCAGCCCATAAGAATACTGCAAACAGGAAAACGTGAACGTGCTGCAACCATACAGTTTGACTTCAGAAACTCGTCTTACTGTCCTTCCGACAACGATACAGATAGACGGGATTTGTTACTGACCATCAATGACCAGATCAACATGTAGTGACAATGCAACGTCAATAGAATTTGATTACGCAACGTCATTTGCGAGACGTGTTTACGGCCACAACGTCAACTGCTTATCAAATTGCTGAATGCCATTGCGCACAGATTCATGCCATAAACGTTTCCCATAAACTGAACTGCCAAAGAATCGACTGTCGGACTGAAGAAAAACATTTAAAGCCTTGAAGTTTCCACTGCATAATTGCCAAAACCCATTGTAATAAGAAGGTGTAAAACAGAACCCAAAACATGTGGAACAGAATTGGTTGATCTTTCTTACAATCATTTTTGCGTTTGTTACAGGCAGTCATTGCTTTTGACGGTCCCACATTCATTAAAAGATTTAAAAAGAATAATCTAGTATTGCGTTTCTAAAGTCGGTCAGTATATTAATATGCCTCAGGTCTTATTGAGTGTGTATAGCATGCATTCAACTAAATCAGAATTTATAACAAAGGTTAATAGTCATACTTGTGTTGATGAGTTGCAAGTATTGTTGATATATAACCCACACCGCCTTCTATGTTGTGGCCATGGAAGGAGAAACAACAATATTTTAAAATTGGTATGAATCACTTCATGCAGACTTGTCATTACAAATTATAGTTATTTCCCTTTTTCCATTAATGAAAACACGAGTAAACATTCAAAAATTAACTTGCCTGCTTTACAGAATATGAATAAAATTTTTACGTTGAAAGTCTTTGGAATCAAGATATCAATCAATGGTATCGCATAAAACTTAACATTTATCAATTATCAATGAAAATGAAACCCTATATGTAGTGTTATATGACCACCTTACAATGATTGTAAATGCCAAATACAGTGATGGGCTCTGTGGCAGAGTGATCTAAGTAGTCGAACTATTTGATCACTAGTCTGTCAATACTGAGGTTGTGAGTTCGAGCCCAGCATGTGGCAGATGCGTTCGACTCCAATTCTTAATCATCTAGAATAGTCAGTTTGAAAAGTGACCTTCAAAGAAAACTTGATGAATGAACGAACCATGAAAATGAGGTTAAAGTCAGATGAACCATGTTAGATGGACATGTTAACCTAAAAATCTTTCAAATGACCATTATTTATAAGAACTGGGAGCTGACCTAACCAATAAAAATTTCATGCTGAAAAAAAAATTTTCTTTCAGCAATGATATGTGCACTCTGACAGCTATGTTGCTCCTCAGATCTCTCAATTTTCACTTTCTGTTGTAGAAATCAACCTTCCACATGCTTAGAAGCTCTCTTTTTTAATTGTTAAGATCCATGTCAATTTACCTTTTGGCATTTTTGTCATATAGCTCTTTAATTGTTTCGGTACTTATACATCCCTCGGATTTCAAATGTTTGGCATTGAGCGTTCTTGATGAAGGTAAATCCAGAAAAGCGTTTCGGACGCATGAAATTATTAAACGTGTTTTTTTCAATTTTTTACCAAGGCACATTAATTATTCTGACTTTTTGCAAACTAGTCCTTGCTTCTACTCCTATATGCCACATGCTTAGCAGAGAAGCAGTTAATACCATTTTCAAAATTTAGTTTGACCAGCCACAGAACCAATCAAGGACCTCCTGCACTGAAAATGAGGACACTAATATGAGACCACTGAGGTAGTTCCTGCTAATCAGGCAATATATTAACAATAACAAAAAAATATTGCACATTTATTCATATACTACCACATCACATTTGAAAAAAAAAGTCATAACTTAAATATCTTATAATAAAGTATTATAAGAAAGTTCAGTAGGAAATCGCCTTAAAAAACAAGAGCTATTTGTCAAGCCATCTGGACTATGAGATGATCTTTGTTGTTGGTACAGCTATTTACATAAAGTACCAGTATTCGTTTCTTGGTGGTTGATGTGGTTTGTTGTACTGTCAACTATTTTTGATAATCATCTGTTATCCTTTTCATGTACCAATGAAAGAACCTTAGTGAGCGCGCTCACATACCCCACGTCCCCACATTGTCATTGGAGAAATAAAATAAGTGTAAGAAAAAAAATTGTATCAGAAAAAAAAATTGAATCATAATTTCCTGTAAATATGCACATCTACGTAGTATGCCCTTATTATCTGAAAAGGTTTCATGAAATTCTGTTGTGTGGTTTGAGAGGAGTTGCGATGACAAAAGGTTGCAGTAGTATATTGGGCAAATAAGTTCAAAGGGGCGTAACTCCTAGAAAAAAAATTGAATCGTAATTTCCTGTCAATATGCATAACTACATAGTATGTCCTTATTATCTAAAAAGGTTTCGTGAAATTCTGTTGTGTGGTTTGAGAGGAGTTGCGATGACAAGAAATAGGACTGACGGACGGACAGACGGACGGACGGACGGACAGACGGGTCAAAAACATTATACCCTCCGCAACTCGTTGCGTGGGGTATAAAAATATATTAAAGTATTATTCCATATTGGTATTATTTTAGTAGATTTTTCTATATGAATTAGATTTTGAATATCATCTTACGAGGAGTGACATTGACTGCGCTAAATGTCACATGCTTTTACATGTATTATCATGGTAAATTGTTTGATGTTCAATTTGTTTTGGTAAATAATTGTCATTGAAAACATTTTTTTTCTGGGATATGGAATAAACCATTAATTGTATAATATTCAATCTAAGGTCACTTACAGAGATGTTTTGTTTAGGGTTGTGGTTTTTACTACTGTGATTGTCTTGGTGTCATTTGGGGATTTTGACACTGGCTCTCAACTTTAAAGTGAACTTGTTATTTCAAAATAAAGGATTAAAGATCTGTTGAAATAGATAAGAATGAAAATATTAATAATTTTTTTTTAAGTACATTAAAAAATCAGGTGGAATGAAACCCTAAGCACATAGAAAGAAAGAAAATTAAATAATTCACAAATATTATGTTAGGCAATGGCATAATAAAAAAAACTTTTATGGCACGGCCTGAAAAAGTATTTGAAAAAAAATTCTCAATCAAAAACAATTATCACATGGATATGAGACATATCTTTTTTCCCTCCATTTGTTCCAAGTGATTTGTAAAGATCTTTCAAACTTACATTAAAAAATGACATGTCCCCCCCTCCACCCCATCATATACTGCACATTTGAAATGCCTCAATATTGAGCATATCCATATGGCTGTGTCTGGTATATCTGACTGGTATATGGTTGTGTCTGGTACCCAGGTCTTGCACTAGGATATCTTGAACTTCCAGAACTTGTACTCCTTTGTCGAGGATTAGACCGGGCTATATGCTGTTGTAGGACAGGTAGTCCTCCATCTTTGACCAGCTGTTGTAAAGCTTGAAAGTGAAGCTTCGTGATTATCTGCAACTCTTCGAAAACTGAAAAGTAACAAAAAGCTCTTTACACATATACAAATTGTTCATTGCATTTATGCTCTACAGGAGAAATATATTATTCAGAAATGTTTAAAGTTATTGAGTATGTCATAAAAACTTTTAAGATTCAGTTAATACGTAAACAACAATGAAAGTTTGATAACTCATAATATGCATCCCTTATAGGGAAGGTTGAGCTCTCACAGTACATGCATCTTTGCTAGACAAGGGTTATGATCCAGTCCCCTCCTCTCCACCTTTGGCGGATTAAGCGAACATTTGTGAATACAATGCTGCGCCACCTACTGGTAGATAAAAGTCACGCCCATTCCGATTACATTATTTTTTACCAATGGCAGCACTTGAACTCTCTTCATTGTGGAGGTTTTAAAAATTGTTGTTTCTAGTGTTTACGAATATAGTGAAGCAGGAACTAAAAACATACATTGACCTTTCAACATTTATGTGAGAAACATACCCTAGGAACTCCAATTAGTTGATTGACAACTTTAAACTTGTCACTAAATATCGTCCTATGAAAAAGAAGAAGATGTTTTTGGACAATCAGCACGTGGTGATTGTTTATTAAAGTTTTCTACATTTACACGTGATAATGTTAAAGGTGCTTTTTGATTGGATGCAACCAGTTACAACTGCGACAAATGGAAATCATTACCTCCTGGATCTGATATTCTATCTTAATCCGCCAAGGGTGGAGAGGAGGGGTCTTGATCGTAACCCTTGGGGCTTGGCTAGCGAAGATGGAGTACATGTTTAACTGCCACATTCTTTATGGGTTTGTCCAAATCCAGGAGCCTGGTATTCCAGTGGCAGATTGGTCTCTGCTATTATTTTGTTTGGTTTAATGTTATGAGAGTAAATCAGGCTGTTCGCTTTCTCTTTTCAATTGTTTCATATTTTGTTATGCCAGGACCTTTTATTTCTTACTGTATGTAAAGGGTTTGCTAATTGTTGAAGCCCATACAGTTAAGTGTAGTTGTTAACACTCATGTCCTTTGGTCTTTGGTGAAGAGTTGTCTCATTGCTAATCATAACATATCTGCTTATTTTTATACTGTAAATTGAGAATATTTTGCAAAAATTGAGACAGGATATATAGGTTTCTCAAAAAATAAAAACTCTGAATTTCAAATTTTTTGACAGTATTATTTGTATGTACCATTTTTTTGAAATTCCTGAATTAGATTCGCATTCTAGTCCATCCACCAACAATCTCACTAATAAATGCATGTACAAATTTGTGAACTTACATAAGGCAATTCACCTAAGCACAAACCCGTTTATTTACTGACAATCTATGTAAAACATCACTCATACATGTTGTAAAGTAAATAAAAATCAAGTCAATGCAATGAATCTAGTACTTTGTATAAAATAATAATTTTTTTTTGCTTTATAAAAAACATACTAATCTGAAAATGTCATATTACCTTTGTAAGTTTATTATTATATAGTAAAGAGTTAATAAGTCAGGGATGGATGGATGGCAGTTTTACATCCAGTGGCAAATCAAATGCATATTTAGGATGAGAACAAATTAGTGCCATATGAATATGAACTTTGCTTTGTAATAGACCGACAAGCCTGCAAATACCAATTTCACATAGTTTGGTTTCACCAGGCTGCAAACCAACGACCTTACAGACTCCAGGTGAACACAATACCACGAGACCGCTGAGGCGGTTATAATAAGTCAGAGAAAGCAATGCGTAAATGTTGCACCTTACCTTTACTAGCATATACTTTCTCATCCTGTGTATGTAATACTATGTTCTGTAAGCAGTGAACCATGGCACCAGTAGCAATGACTCGATCTTGTAATGATAAAGTGGTAAAATAGTCAAAATCTACCTCAAATGGGTTCATAGGTGATGGGTAGGTACACAGCTTGACAAGTTCTGCTATAATATCCCAGATATGTATGTCTGTAAAAGAAAGAAATCCAAAAAGATTAACTGGATCTGCTATTAGGTCCAAGATGTGTATGTCTGTACTTTAATTTAGGAGAGACTTATGGCAATGCATGTTGTACTCAAGAATAGGGACAGGGATACAGTTCTTTGACAACTTTTGCATAAAATATGTCAGATAGATATTTTACTTAGAGGAAAATACCTGCTAAGATTTGTTCTAGAACTGACTGAAAACATCAGCTATGTATGCCAGAAAAGGACAACAGAATAAGTAGGTAGTTGAGTATTTTCACACATTCTGTTATAACTCAGATATGATTTCAAAAGGAAAAGAGGACAGGGAAGCAGTCTGGTTATCTCAGATATTTATGCTGTATTCTAGTATCACAAAAAGGATAAACATATATTCTTCAAACTCTGAATGATTTTGGTAATCTTCAATTACTTCTTTTACAAAGATGTCTATGAATAAACAAGCAATTTTGGTTAAATTATTGATGTTTTACATGGAAATGTCATATTTATGTTATCATGGTAACTATCTAATGAGACTGTGTTTATATTATTGTTCTTTTATATATAAAAAAGATTGAAAGTAAGTAAAGGCACTCAAAAAGTAAAATATAAAGCCTAGAGGTTAAAAAATTTACCATAGGAATTCCATTTGTTTGTTGATTTCAGACGTAATGGGCTGTCTTTCTCTTGTGTGGAATCATTGGTCAATCTGATAAGTCTTTGATGGTTAGATCTGACCCAAACATATGGACAACTGTATCTAGCATAACCAGCTATCAAAAATAAGGTTGTGTCACTCTGGAAAGAAAATTTGCAGTTAATTTCATGGAAGATGACTAAATAAAATTGTTTAAACCGTTTAAATTATCTCTATATTATGCTAACACTATGCCATCTCCTTAATCTCCTTCCATGGTCATGAGGTAGAGTACTAGCCTCTATCAGAAGGTTGTAATCTCAATCCCTAAAATTTGCTGCTTCTTATAAAAACCTTGACATATCAATATAAATTAAAGCAAAAGCTGGTAGGCTAGGAGCAGAATAATGTGTCGGAGTAGATAAATTTGTCTTCCAAATAGCTTACCTTATTCGATAGTATGTCAAAAACCTGACAAAGTGTGTCAGTCTAGTACAAAGCAGGGTAAATTCATATCTCAATAAAATGTTCATTCTTATGTTGTGCTGTAACACCACAGTCCCAGGTTAATAGGGGGAGGGTTGAACGCTCACAAACATGTTTAATCCAACCACATTCATGTCCTGTCCCAAGTCAAGAGCCTGTAATTCAGTGTTTGTCCTTGGTTCATGTCTGTTATATTTGTTTTTAGTTTATTGAATTGTATAAATTAGGTCGTTAGTTTTCTTGTTTGAATTGTTTCATATTTTTCATGTCGTGGCCTTTTATTGCTGTTTATACGGTATGGGTTTTTCTCTTTGTTGAAGGCTGTATGGTGAACTATAATTGCTTTTATCTTCATCATAAGAACTCTGGTGACACTGAGTAGTTGTCTCATTGGATGTCATACTACATCCGTTTTTTTTTACACTGTAATATCATCTTACATCAACATTGCTCTCTTTATCACTAGGTGAGGCTGGCGGTAATCCAATCCCTTTTGGTGCATTTAAATTCAGGTTCATCTGAGATCTAAGGGATATCAACAAGGAACGTCTGAAAATATCAATCTTATTTAGTCTTGCTATTTTTTTTTGTTCTCTAATCAAATCTTATTTTAGCATGCTATGGATTCATTTATTTTTGTGGGTACCATATTTTGTGGATAGAGGGAAAACATTATTTTCATGAATATTTGATTTCTTGGTTTTGCCAAAGTCTGCATACAAGTTTATGAAAAATTTTTATTTCATTGAAGAATTATATTCATGGTTCACCACTGTGTATCATCGCCACCGGAAATTGGGTACTAACGAAGCGGAGAGAAATGGAAAAAAAAAGTAAACAAGGTAAGAATTCATTCAATTTAAAGCATTTCTACTGATTTGACGAGGGTACCGCTTAAGAAATGATTTTCTGATATATAATTCTTTAAATTATTAGGCCAATAAGTACAAAATTAAGACAATATTTTGTGTTATACTCCAAAGCTTGCCACTTAGTACCTGAAAATTTCGAGGTCGATTGTCCTCTGTCGCCCCATTGGCAAGATATTCAACTGTTTTTCATTATTTTTCCAGACACGTTTTTAGATTATGATAGTGTGACATCATATTGACTGAAATTTGTTGTCATAAAGATGTTTTTAAAGAATATGGACCAAAACATTGTTTGTTTATTGTACGGCGAATTGCAGGACGTTGTACGGCGAATTGCAAAATAACAACTTTTGTCTGTACGGCGTCTTGCAATATATTGTAATTTAAAGATGAAATTAATCATTGTTTAGATAATATCAAGTGACTATATTTTGGCTGTATCAAAGCTTTACCGGCTTAGAAATATACAAAATAAACTACTTATCAAATATTATAAAATATATGCCGTTAATTTCGTTCAGAAGTCGTCGTTGCGTACCTCTATTTGACTTTGTGTTTTTAAAGACAAATAGGTTTTTTTCAACCATATTATCCTAAATACATTCATATATTGTTATAATGCTAACGACTGTTGTCTTATTTGTTGTCAGGGTGAAATTTTGTAAGTTCAATAAAAAAAAAAACGACCATTCATCCTTTGTTGGTGCTGTTTTTTTTTTAAATATAAACAGTGGAGATGTTGTATGATTGAAAATAAGATAACTATCCACCAGGGTCAAATAAAGTGTATGTTAGAAATTATATGCTATTGTTTGGCCGTCAACAACGAAAAATCGTACCTTATAGTCGGCTATAAAAAAAACAGACATGAAAATTGTGGAAGGATTCAACAAGAAAACTAATGGCCTAACTCATAACAAAACAATTTAAGAAAAACAACAAATATGATAGAGATGAACCAACGACAACCACCAAACTACAGGCTCGTGACCTTGGACAGACACATAAAGAATGTGCTGGGTTAAATAGATCTAGGAAGATGTGGTATGAGTGCCAATGAGACAACTCTCCATCCAAGTCACAATTTATAAAAGTAAACCATTATAGGTCAAGGTACGGTCTTCAACATTGTTTATTGTTTATTTTTTAAATTTCTGAAATGAATAATTTGTTAAAAGAAAAGTGAGGAAAATACTTGGTTTTCATTGAAAATTAGGAGAAATAAATCATGAATTGTGTTTCGAATTAATTTTCTTGTTTCTTATTGAAAATAAGATTGTACTTTTTTTTTAGTTTAAGTAAATTCAATTAATCTTTTTATTTACAGGGAAAAAATAATAAAAGACTGTTGCTAAGGCTGTTTGGCCTAAACTTAAATGAGTAGATGGAGGGGTAGTGAAAAGGAGTGAATTCGTCCAAATTTTCATTGTTACAGTAGTACATTTTCATGATTACTATGTATAATATTTCTCAGTAAATTTTAATGTGATATTGTGCCAATTAAAATTATATAATTAATACAAGTAAGATTTGCATTTGCCTTAAAAGATATAGCAGTACGTGATTATTTGTTTTCAAACACACCTTCTCTGTTTTGAAACTTATAAAGGTATGGATCTCAGCCTATCTGTTTGGTTGAATATAAATGTGAATTCATAGAGTTTCAAAATCAACAGTAAGCCCTATTTTTTTGTGTGTGTAAATAATCTAATCTTTAGATAGATGCTAAAATTAAAATCATTTTTCTTAATAAGAAGAAAAAAGTGCAACTTAAGCACGCCTGAATGTAAAAAGGTGTACCCGACTTATTCGTTCACGATAAGAATTTACCAATTTCGGTATTTTAACAAAACTGTTTAGGAGGGCAAATAAATTAAATGCTATCAAATCAACATTTAAATTTACGTGGATTTTTCCAAAAGAATTTATGAGTATGCACCATCAGGATTCAAAAATATTTCAACCTGTCCTTATTAGATTGATTGATGGTTGGTTGCTTAACGTCCAGTGGCAAATATTTCATGCATATTCAGGACGATGTCCTTATTAGATGTTATTTCATTATAATTCTTTAAACTTACAAGTCGAAGATGCTACCTTTTGTGAATTGTATTAATAAGTATATAATATTAAGATGACAACCAAAAAACTTCATACAAGGTCATCTTTATTCTCAAGTAGAAAGTTTATATAAATAGTTTATGCCGTAGCCACAGCCGGATTTGTATCCCTTGTATCAGATTCTTCTTTCATTCTTTCCAAAAATGATTAATCTAAGGTTAATATTTTTTTTAAATTCAAACAGTGTTAGCCGTCGAGCTTGTTCATATCTAACTATATAGAGATGAAGTTTTTTTTTTGGAAAATTTATTCTAATATATTGGCTGTATCTGCCTTTTACAAATAAGACGATAACATTAATTGAAAAAGGAGACGTGGAATGGTTTTCACTGAGAGGACTTTCAAACAAAGTCCAAATGAAATAGATTTGACCAACTATTGGTTACTATACACTTCACAATGAACAAAACCCATACCGTATCAAAATTGCTGATTTATGACAAAATCATAAACAAATATGTCAGGCAGCAACTTACGACAGCCGCTATATTACATGTTCCTGACCAGGGACAGACACATATATATATTGAGGCGGGGTTAAACATGTTTGTGAGCACTCAAACCTCCCTTAACATGGTGCCGTGGTGTAGCAATACAACATTTTTTTTGCAGAGAATGATAATTCATTTATATTTCATTTTATCTGAAAGTTGAAAGAGAATTCATTCACTTTAAGGGTTCTAAATATTCAATGCGGAAAAATTCTCCTGCCCTTACCTCCTTCCTTCCCTCCACCCACAACCCATCCCTGAAATGTTCATCACTTATATGCAAATGCTGACTAATGTTGTACGGTTAAAACATTTGGTTGAGAACAGAAACGACAGCTTTAGCTTTTTTCATTTATAAAAGGGCACAACTCAAGAACGGTAACAGTGACGCTACCCAATTTATAACTTGATCTGTGTTTTGTGGTGATTAGCATTTCGTGTAAGTTTTAAAACATTTGGTTATGGCATACTAAAGTTAGAGGACGGAAACCAATTTTTGGGACTTTCTGGACGGACGGAAGAGAAGGATCGGACGGACATGGGTAACATTTAACGCTACGTCAGGGGCAAAACAACAGGTCAGTAAAACAGTGACATGCCTTTCCGAAAGTTACAACATTTGCCAGCTTTTGTATATGCCGTATTCATATTGTATACATCAGGTATGTAAAAGATGTAATAGGACTGTGTTCAAGCCTTATATTGTGTATACATCTTAAATGGTGTCAAGCGAATTGTATTTTATCAAATGCATAATTAGATATTTGAACCTAATACTTTATTTTCTTTAAAAAGACGGCAAATAAATATTTTGAAATTAGCAAGTTGCTATACAGTTGAAAAGTTGCCATACAGTAAATTTGTCAACATGAGCAAGTTGCCGTACCCTAGACTTTATTTTTTATGGTCTATATTCTTTAAAAACCATCATTTTGACAACAAATTTCAGTAAATATGATGCCACACTATAATAATCTAAAAAAGTGTCTGGAAAAATAATGAAAAACAGTTGAATATCTTGCCAATGGGGCGACAGAGGACGATCGAACTCGTAATTTTCAGGTACTAAGTGGCAAGTTCTTGAGTATAACACAAAATCTTGTCTTAATTTTGTACTTATCGGCCTAATAATTTAAAGAATTATATATCAGAAAATCATTTCTTAAGCGGTACCCTCGTCAAATCAGTAGAAATGCTTTAAATTGAATGAATTCTTACCTTGTTTACTTTTTTTTTCCATTTCTCTCCGCTTCGTTAGTACCCAATTTCCGGTGGCGATGATACACAGTGTTCACATACCCATGAAAATCAGTATCCACGAATAATAAAGAATCCACAGTACCTTATAATGCTGATTCTTTTATTGCACAAGTAAAATATTCTATTGTTCTCTATTCCTATCTGATTGAAATACAAATATTGTGTCCATGTCTGTTTTCCGATACTGTGCTACTCTTTATAAATTAAAACCTTTGGTGAGCAAGCTCACATACCATGGCCCCCGTGTAAATTATGATTTTTACCTCAAAATCAAATATGGATCTTCCTCTCATTAAATGTGAATATATATGTTAGTAAAGTTGTTATCTTATTTTTAGAATTTGATTAGGCATCAGAAAACCCTTTTTTTGCACAAATTTGGTCTACTTTTAGTCATTATGAACCTCAACCTTAGACTGAATGACCTTAAAATTAAAAGGGATCATTCCTATTGTATGTGACTATATATCTGAGTAATGTTGCAATCCCATTAGAAGCTTTTGATTGAACATCCAGAAACAACTTTTTTGCACAAATTTCTTTCTACTTTTAGTAACTTTGATCTTCTACTTAGAGGTGGTAATCTCAAAATCAATAGAGATGTATTCCTCTCATCATATGTGAAATATATACAAGTAGTTGCAATCCAATATGAAGTTTTTAATTTAACATCCAGAAATAAATGTTTTGCACAAATTTCAGTCTACATTCAGTAACTTGAACCTTGACCTTGTAGGTGGTAGCATCAAAATCAAAGGGATCTTCATCTCATTATATAACCATATATTCAAGTAACATTGCAATC